CCAGGACATCGACCCGATCCTTTGAATGCCTAAAATAATCCCAATTGATGGAATCGAGATCGGCATTGAACTGATCCATAATAATGTTTTTTAGTGGCCTATATGTCACCCACCGAGGCAATGGTTTATCCTTTTTTATTTTTAGATTTGCCGTGATCATGGCATGTCCACCTAAGTCAGGCGTATGTTTCACTTTGACATTGAGAACAGGTATATCTGTGCAGATCATGTCTATTAGACTATTGCTATGCGATGTAAAATGAGTTGGCTCAGTGACTACTTGTTTTAAGCCCAAGCTGCGCAGAGTTTGCTCAAACAACCTGACTTGTCCCGATTCAGAGCTGAGGAGGTTAATGTTGAAATCACCGACGAGTATGATACCATCATGTTTCGAGAAAGATGTTACTGATTCGGATATGGCTTCAAGGAATATATTTATATCCTGTCTTGGTGGCCGGTAAGCAACGTTGCGTGTCTTATAAATGGAAAAACAATTGAATTATTGTATTGTTTTACGTTCTAATTCTAATTTTAAAATTTAGAATCTTATCAGAAAAAGAAATTACAAAAAAGTCTTCTGTAACACAAAAAAACAATCTCTTTTTCAAAGTGATCGCAATTTTTTTTTGATGTGTGTATGTTAAACTTTTCACAGGGATGATTGTTATTTAGTATTTTTATGAAAAAATAAGTTATGATATGATTATAAAAATACTTTTATTGATTAAACACCACAGCGGGTTGCCTCTGTAAGTCGTTTTAGTTCTAAGTGTAGGAAGGTGATACCTTGCCTCTAGGGGGAGGATGGCGCCATGTGTATTTTTAATTGTGGAACCCGGATTGGAGCAGTTTGTATTGGTTTTGTCAAAATTTTAAATAAGGTCATTTGCATCAAATCAATTACTAAATACTGATAGAGCCTGTTTAGTTTTTACAACTTAGCTCTTTGCTATTGTTGCCTGAAATAACTGCACTTGTGTCGTCGGCAAACAGAGTATTTTTATGTCATTATTATTATATGACGGAAGGAAGCGACGTCCAGCACCTTAGGGATCCGCTAGCTAATTGATTTCTGCTGTTGTTTTAGAGCTCCTCGCGATAGGGGATAGGATCAGGGTAAGCAATGCGGTAGTAATCCTATAAATTCACAATGAATCTGATTTAGCAAGACTAAAGGCGCTTGTTACCGGGTCTAGGCACGGTCTCTCTCAATTCATTGCTAGCACCGGTATCGTTAACAAACCTCCATAATGTCTTATACCTAACTGTTAACCGGATGTAGACACGTGTTAAAACCGTGCCTAGACTAGGGTAGAAATCGTTTTGTTAACAAGCTCCCTAAAGCAGCACCGACGCCGGAGTCGCGCTTATCACGTAGTCCATCCCCCCTAGCATGAGTAACAAAACGCGATATGATAAAGCGATTTATCGACATTAACTGTCAAACTACAATGGAGTTTGACAGTTGAGTGTCGATAAATCGCTTTATCATATCGCGTTTTGTTAGTCATGCTAGGGGGGCATATGCTTTTATTTGCCCTTTTTACATTATACTAGTTGACCCAGCTAACTTCGTATTGCCATAAAAATAGGGGCAGGTGGTAAAAGTGAAAATTTAGGGTTGTATGTATTTTTAATACCACATTATAAAAAAATAAATTTTGTCCAAAATAAATTTTAGGGGTGTGTAACGTAGTGTTCTATCAATTTCCTGGGATAACATTCTTCCTAACCCATATGGGTTTATGTCTCATATGAGAACACTACGTTACAATACCCAATAGTTTGAATTTTGGCGCGAAGGCGCATTGTAAGTTTCAGAACACTACGTTACAGGTGGAAAACCATTATCACTTAAGGATATGAAAAATAGATAGTAGCCCATTCTCAGACCCACGGAATATGCATTTAAATTTCATAAATATCGGTCTGACCGTTTCGGAGGAGTATGGTAACTAACATTGTGACACGAGAATTTTATATATAAGAAGATTGTAACACGCATTGTTTTCGTATCAAATATTCGTGGTGATAATAAAATCGAGTTCAATCACACCCTTCAACAAGTTAGTTAGTCATCGTAAACAACTCTTCGCAGTAAACAAACAAAGCGTTACAATAGACGCCAGCACGACGGACGGTGTTTTAGATATTTTCCCCGCTAATTGGCGAATACGTATTACGTATCTAATTACCAGGGCTTCACTATGAGTAGGTACTTAGTACTTACTGTGAATCATAATTTAGAACTGTGGGAAAGATTCGGTACGTAATTTCTGTTTAATACCGCGCGATGAGGTTAAATTGTTTATTAGGCTCTAGTAGCCTGTAAAATTAAGTACCACACTTTTAAAATTCCAATTACTTTATAAGTACACAACATATAGTTTCGGAAAGAAAACGACTCGAAAAAGAGTCTAATATTGTACTACATTTTCAAAGAAAGCTGATAAAATTTGCTACAAAACGTTCTTTATTTTATAAATCTTACTTCTGTAGTTTAGAAAATATTGTAATTTTAAACATATGATACTTAGTTTTGCAGGTCAGTGTATTTTTTGCATTGTGAGTCAATTGCCATTGACGTAAGCGCACGATAATTTTGTGGCTAGTTTTTATTTTAATTTTATGGCGTATAACTTCGTATTAGCAATATACTGTATGGTATTCAATGTCATCAGCAGCATATTAATGTCCCCACTGCTTGGAACACAAGCCTTCCCTATGAATGGGATAGGGATTGGCCTATGACCCACCATGCGCCCAGTGCGGATTGGTGGGTGCTAACGACTGCAGATGCAGCCGGGACCAACGCCTCAACGTGCTTTCTGAATAACGGATTAGCTCGAGATAGTAAATTTTTGATCACCCATCCAATGACCGACCAATGCAAAAGTTGCTTAACTTCAACGATCGCAGCCGAATGCGCTAAACACTTACGCCATCGAGTTCCTACTTTATGGTGCGGTACAATGAACCATGTAAAATGCAGCATTATTTTGTCAGCAAGTTAAAGTACCTATTGTTGATCGAAGAAGATAGCACATATATGGATTTTTACGTGGCTGGAATTATATAATAGTTGACTATTATATAATTCCAGCCAATAGTTAACTATTATATAATTATAAATATTATATTATCTAGGCTATTTGCTATTACTTTTTCATAGTTCAAGCACAGCTTATAATTTTGGACTAATTTATTATTTCTTGTTGGAAGATTAACAGACAAATATCAACCTTATCTATTCAAATTGAAGTAAAAAATGTTATTTATAAATCTCCACAAATAGGGATGTTGTAAGTTGACCGATATTTATTATATTATGCCAATGAAAATGAAGACTGAAAGAGAGGAATAGAAGAACAAAACATACTGCAACAAAATGAAATTAATTAGGAACTGGGTGAATAAGAAGTTGCAAAAGAAATCCAATCGCAAAAGGCATATTACTAAAAAATTATGATAGATAGCTATATACCTACACCATGCTTTCATTGACAGACTATTAATAATGAAATATGCGATGGCATCAGATATAAGTATCATTGTCATTATGCTGATGCTGTCATTATTTAATCATACCCGTAGCTGCACATACACATATCGCATATGGCACTGCTTGTATGTTGTGTTATTCTTTAATAAAAGTACTTATAAAATTTGCATGTATTATAACCACTTCGTCTAAAAGCACCCTTGAGCTTTTGATGAAGCACATTCATGATGTCACCTTTCCGATTTCTTAAATAACAGCGAGAGCATTCAACTTGCACGTTAGATCATCATTCCATTCTTACGCCTCCGCAATTTCGACTAGTTTAGTTGATCTTTCATTCACATTGGGTTTTAGATTCGAAGCCTTTACAAAATCGTATCTTCTAAGCCCCATACGTCCATACCTTTCTTGTATTCCAGTAGTTAAAACTTTAAATAGTTCAGCTCCTGCATGCAATTTCATCGATTTTCAGAACTGTACATGTCAAAGTTTAAGCTCCTCCTATAAGCTAGATTTTATACTTTTTACTTCCAGAAGAATGAGTACTTACGTTAATTATCCCAATGCAATAAATATTTGAAATAGAAATAGTAATAATAGATAGTCCATTTTGTCTTATACCATAATTGTTTACCAACAAAGAAATTATTGTAGCATGCCATGGCAACTTTGGCAAGGCAACTGTCGGCCAAATTCATAAAATATTACTGTAACATCTTTTTTACGACAATGTGAAAAAAGGACTCAAATAAAATATTGTTCACATCACAAAACTTTTATTCCATCGATACTAATTATATACTTATACTATATACTTGTTCTAAAATTTCGTAGACCATAAAAGTTCGGCATAAATAAATGTTGAATGTATTGAAAGTGGAATCGAGACACCACGACTGACAAAACTCATTATGATTTTAGACAACACATCCATCGTTCGCTGCTTAAAAATCGAACTGCACCTGTCAAACGCAAAGAACCAGTGGTAACTAAAGTAGATCTAAAACTCGCTGTGCCTCTCACATTGGCAGCAGGTACTCGGTGGAAGTGTGTTTCGAAACCACTTGCAACTATTTCTAATCTAGTTTGTATCTATTTTAATTAGGTGTGCTTTGACGTCTAAAACTACATTCTAGTCGCAGTTCGGGTACTTGCCGCGTGTAACTATTGTTAAACGTACTACCTACAAGAGTTCTACACAAACGACCTCAAAACGGAATTCGGCCTAGCCGAGCGTAATCTAGCATTAATGCAAGTCGAAATCAAACGCGAAAGTTTACGTTACCCCACTAGGATTGGGTGAAGTAACCTTTAAAACTATCGTTATAGAGTTCACAATCGTGGGGTGGAATCGGGGACACGTGCGGAATGGAGGTATTAATGGAGTCCGCGCTCGATATTAAAGCGTTCCAGCGCTACAAAACTTAGTCGACTTTGTGAGTAGGTTTGGGTTACTAGTTTTTACGCAGCGCTACATCGCTGCCTGTTTATTTCCACAGCGATGACTCAAGCCTCGGTAAACAGTATGCGGGGACGATGAGTCACCGTTTTACACATTCGCGTATAGCGTTTGAGTAGTGTTGTCAGTCTACAGTTGGTAGCAAGCAAGCACACGGTACTAGGCGTTTATATCGCAGGTTTAACTGCCAAGCGCCTAGTTATAAAAACACAATTAGACAATAAAGACTATTTCTTGATAAACTGTTAGTGTAAGAACAAGTTTGTGTGAAAGTATATTTATAGTTCCGTAGTGTGCGTGTCAGTGAAACGGTCGATAAAGTTGTTGATCGTTCTGTGCTATTTGTGGATTCCTTACATACTATTGGATTTGAGTTAAGGAGGATTATCGACAATGCCGTCAAACAAGAAACTCATATCTAAGATGCGACAGATAGTACAGTGGATCTTAGTGGTTCATGTGGTAAGATTTCACTTTAACAATTTTTCTCGTTAGAATCTAGATGTCTATTTTGATATAAATTTAAATATATTTGTTTTTTATTTCAAATTTAAAATTTGAATAATCACAATAAACTAAATGTTTTTTTATTTTACGAATTTTTAACATCACTGCGGATAAATATTCGAACAGTACAAAAAAAGTTAAAACAACGTAGTGTTTTCTTAACAATCTAAGTTATATAACTATATTGCTCTTTTGGTTATAAAATAACAAAACATAAAATCTAAAACGCAGAGTCCAGTTGATATTGATTAGCTTCAGAGGGTTGACTTAACTCTGTTACGAGTTCGGAGAGCAAAGTTTTCTCCCTAATGGTACGCGCAATCTTTTTATCCAGTCTCCGAAATAAAACTTCCAATGGAGAATTCATTCGGATCATCTACAATTGTTTGTTTTCTAAAGTTGTTATAACAAGATATACCTTAAGCATTTACAAGTAACTGCTAACCATCGGAAACGTTATCCCGATCCGCCCTGCGATGTGAACGGACCTATTATCATTCACAAAGATTTATCTTCATCTCATCCGGCCTCCTTTTTGAACACATTCAAAACCTCTTGCCTTACAATCCTCAAGACGCTGACAGATGAAGAACTTCAACAAAGAAAACAAATATCATCTCTGACTTAGACTGCGACCCTCCATAACAATGTCGCTGCATTGTTATAGACACTCCTATTCAATAACTTAAACACAACTTAAACAGCTCCTTTGTATGATACAAATCATAACAATGATGATAGAAGTAATCTGTTAAAACCGTTTACAACACTAGAAATAGATTGCGTAGATACTAATTCTCATTATGCTTAGGGTGCGATGACCTTTTCAATGAGGTGTAGGAAATTTCTTCCATAATTGCTCCCTTCAGTGAAACATTTCTAAGGGTCTACTTAAGATGCCCTCGGCCCTTCAGGCGACTCGGACTACCAACTTAGTAATTAAGCTTATTTCCTCCGTTTGTTTTGTCATTTGGTGCAAATTGTCTCCTCATCTGCTTGAGAACTTTGCATAAAGACTGTTGATGTTAAATAAGTACACTTGTTATGATGATGTTATGACAAAAATACACGTGTTAATATAGCAAAACCTTATTCCTAAACACTATGTAGCAACTGTGATTTCTCATTGCAAAATTTCCAAGAAATGTTCCTTGTGTAACTATTCAGACTAGACATATAAGAGACAGGGCTTTGCGCCAACAATCCTGGAATAATTGAGAAGCACGTTCGAGTCTATAAAAGTGAAAGAGGAAAAAAAAAACAATAGAATCTGTTTAATTCAGTTGTGCTGGAACCCGTGAACTGTTTGCGGTCTACGGTTTACAGAACGTGACCAGACAGAAGCAGGGAGCAGGAGTGACCGCGCCAATTGTTCAAAAAAATTGAATTAAATTCGTTGCTACATAACTCGATTTATGACACAAGTAAAATTGCAATAACGAACGATATGATTACACAGATTTCATCTGAGAATTTCCAAACCGCGATCTGCGTCACAAATATATAGTTTAGAACTATTAAGTAATAAACAAGTTTATTGACTTATATCCACGTTTGTCCATGACGATGCAAATACTATGTTTTTCTCTTTGTTATTGTAAACAAAACTGACATCATAATATGTGTCTTGGTGAGTCATATTACCTTCCCCGCTGTAGAAATATCCTCATAAAGATCTTGCGAATAATTAAATAGTTAGTTATATACTTCTTGTTATGTAGAAAGTATTTCTTTATGTTTTTTCAATAACTAGTTGCTTATCTGACCAAGATGTTGAAGAACTAAAATGATTTGAATTTATTTCTTGATAAGTTTTATTTTCTTATCTTCGTTGACACAACGCATGATGTTCCCATTCGTATGTAAGGAAACTGTGTATATGAAAAAAAAAGAGAAGCTTCTTCTATTCTTTATAACTCCATTTGCGAGATAACATTTTCTGCCGGGTAACGGCGGGTTGGGTAAATTTCCAATTATGTCTTTTTGTCGAAAACCAATGAACTATGTAAAGTCTATGGTGACAGTCACGCGACGCTAATGCTCGTTATTTTGGTTCGTGCTATAGCAGGCGTGTCTCCGGTATTAATACCCAGTGAGTCACCCCGTGCCGTCTGAAAGCTGCGTCTTGTCCCATATCCTCCAGTATTAGTCATACGGGCGAACCCGGACGTTTGTTTGTGGACGACTTTTTCTCTTTAAAGGTCACAAGAGTTTAATTGCATACTCTTTATAGCTGACAATATGTTAGCAGCCAGCAATTAAATTTATACTTGTCAATAACATACCGCTATCTTAATGAAGAAAATTTTGTCACGTGAATGCTAGAATGGAAAGTGAAAGTCACAACCGAATGAACATTATGCTCATTGAATTATCAGGTACTTTGATAAGATTTCTGAAAAAGAGCGTCAGTCCTGAAAAGCTCAAAATGGTAATCCTTTACCGTGGTGATCATAAATGTTATACCAGATAAGAATTAATAGATTAAAAAAACAGCCCATATCGCATTTTATGTCACATGAGTCATGGACATAAGAATACATCTCAGAAGTGTAAGGAGACGTTTGAAATTAAACACACGTTCTGTGATTTCTGCATTCCAAAACGTTTATTCATCACTAGGATATGGTGTTAGTTTTATTACCGCTATTAAAATATTTAACAGCTCTGGAAAGACACTGTACGAGATAGATTTATGTGCAAATCGATATATTATTTCCTCGTTCATTTTACGTCGATAAATACAAGGTCTATATTGTCCTCGTTTCCACTTCCTTCCTTTATAAGGTTATTTGAGTGTTTAAATTTTTATTTTTACTGGCTCGCTTTTTTTTATTTTGACGCTCGTGACGCATTTAAATTTTATCTTTTCCATATGATTTTTTCATGTACACCCCGTGCGAAAAGAAGTTTCACTTCAAAAAAATCTTTCAATAAATTCATAACGATTACATAACGATAGTATATATATTATCTACTTTTTATTTGATGAATATTAAAAATAAAAGTTTGTATCTGACTTAATCAACTCCCAAGCGTAATTATAGCAGACAAAGCATCATTTTGAAGTTACGTGAATGTACTTTTAAATACAGGAAGTAAGCTGTTGACTACTGTTCCCCCATTACTCGATACAATTGATGAATGGATTGCCGTGAGCATGTGTGCTTGGGCAAAATTCAATTTGATCCCTTTCAAAGCTAACCCTTACGGCTCAATGGTGGCATTGATTTGAATCGGCAAAGTAAACTGGATTTTCTAGCTAGAAATAGATTGCATAACATTTTGTATGAAAGATTATGTTTTCATTGTTCTACCATAATATAGGATCATCGGAGTTTTGTTGTATGAAGTTTTTATTTTGCATTGTTCCACCATAATCTAAGATCCAAAGAGATGACATGACGTGTCGTTTCGCCGATAAAAAAATCATTAAAGCCAAATGACATACATTTTCAAAGACATTTTTAAATCAACTTCCTAAAAATGTTTTTATTATTTGGTAAGTACTCTGAGCAAGTAATTAAACATCACCGCGAAATATGCAAATGACGAACAGAAATCTCGCTAGACATCGCAAATCAAACCGGGCGTAACATGGCCGACGTTTAATTATGTAAATAAATTTTCATGCATAGCAAGGAATCATAAAACAATGCGCCAGATGAAGCTTACCCTTCTATAAAAGTTTGAATAAAGAGCAGCCCCCAGGGCAGGACCGGAACGTGTTCCCTTTATTTTTATTTTTTTGAGTTATGTCTTTTATCCCTTTCACTAAGTTTGGTCGAAATTTTGGCTCAGCTTTCCATTATATGTAATTGAGTTGCAAGCTGAAATTTTTGTCACGCAAAGTATTAACTATTAAAAACACATACACGAAATCTTTTTAGGCGGAAACGAATAGAACTCGAGAAAAAAATTATTGAAAATTAATATTTTTGTAGGTTATGAGTCAATTTTGACAGCAATTTTGATCAGTGCTGCCATTTTTTTATGCAAAAATAACATGATTCTCGTTGTCTATGGTAAATATAAGTTTATTATGTTGGTACTATTGTCAAAATGTGACAATTTACCGCCATTAATGAGATCTGTCAGTCAGGGTTTGTGTTCGTCGCAGTTAAGAGCTTTTTCGTACTCCTGTTGATATTAACATCGTCTGACTACCATGGCATCCTCAAAGCCTTCGGCCTCGAGTTCTGCTGTCCCATCGCCTCAAGACTCGAGTGTAGTGCGAGTTTTGGACTCTAATGAGCCACTTGTGTGGTGATACTTCACACTAGGTTAGGTTAGGTTAGTGTTGTGACCTTAACGCGCGAGCCGAGCGAGCGAAGCGAGCGTGCCGCGGCAGCGGCCGGCGAAGCGCCAGAGAGAAAAATTCGTTAATAGAGACTTTTTTTACAAAAAAATCAAATATCACCTCTAGGCCCTGGAAGTACAGTTTTACCTTTAAAACCCCTCTATTTTTTTATAATTATCATTTCTGTAAAAAAAACGACCCTTCCCTCTGAGGGGTCTTCCCTAATACCTATCCCCCTGAAATTCCACTACATATAACAGATTTAATGAATTTTTAGGTTAGGTAAAAAAAAAAACTGCATTTCCGCCAAAAATCTTTTATGGCGGGGGGGTCGGGGGGTGCCCCCCCTCCCCCTCCCCTACAAATTACCCCGAAATTCAATTACATATAATGGAATTAAGTACCGAAATTTTTTTCGTCCAGTCAAATGCATGCTTACAATTTTGGTCTTTCAGTTCTCACACTCATATGTTTTAGCAAATCTGGAAGCATGATAAATAAGTAAGCATTTAAGGATTCTTTACAACCTTCCGTACCAATGACCCATTCGAATTGGTTGTTGGTCTTTATGAGATTACTGCGTTAAATCTTGATTTCATTACTAAACTCTTGCGTAAAGCGTTCGTTACGTCAACGATGTTCGTATGTAGAAGTCTTAAGTAAACAATATTGGAAGTTGAATCCATTGAGCGCACAAGTAATTTAACCCTTAATGAGAGCGGTCGCAGGGGCCCTTCGTGACCGGAGGCGCGGAAGCGGGGACTCATCACAGACTCTAATGGGCTAAAACCACCCCCGGGTTAAACAGATATCATCTTATTAAGCAGTCTAGGAAAACATGCAACGTTCATTTGTAAAACTCACGTAGTAAAGATTTAATAAAATGAAATCGTTAGTATTGCCTATCACTGATTAAACAATATAATGGCAATAAACGATTCCGTTATAAATTAAAATAGCGAATGCAACTATATAACAATTCTAAAGCGGACAATAAAAATTTGTCTTTGCGCATGAACTAAATTTGGCGGTGTCCCCTGAAATGTTATCACCTCATCGTATCGTCTATGCAGGCACAATATCTCATAATATTCTTTATATCCATCCCCATAAACAGAAACGGTCGTAGTAATGACGACCGTCGAGGGGTGAGGACGCCTAACCGGCCGTTACGGTCGCCGGGTATGTGACCGCTGCATTTTATTACCACTTCACTTTGCCACATAATCGACCTTCTTGATAAAGGGCTTCTTTTCTAATAGCCGCTTAGTATGCGATGATTTGTCTGATAGTAGCTCGTCAGAAAATTCCTTTGGCTGCCGAATTATCATTTTGGTAGATATATAATCATTCTTTTTTAAATGAAACTTATAATTATTTAATACTAAAGGAAAACCTTCGATCATCGATCGTTTGCTTTAACCTTGGGAAAATATTTGAATAGGCAACTGTAGTAAGAGTAATAACTTTATATTAATCATAATTTCTATTGTTGCAGGTTGAATTTGTAGAAGCGTATTGCACACCACGCGACACAGCCCGGCGTTCCCCGCAGCGCAGCCGCCGATCCCGCGAGCCGCGCAGATCTCCGGACGCCTCCAAATGGCGTTACGACTCCCGCCGACCTTACGAATTTGATTCCTGTCGTCGATCATACGATTACGAATCGCGACGATATTACGGACGAGACTACGACGGTGATTCGGGGAGGCGCCCAGATTTCGACGCAGAGTCTGCCAGGCGACGGGCGGATTACGAATCTGCTAGGAGGACAGACTTTGACTTGTCCGCGCCAGGAGTCTCGAGGCGCAGTCCCGAGAGCGCTCCTGAAGGCTCCACTGAATCACCTCCCGAGCCCGCGCCGTCTGCTCCCCTAAGACACGAAAGACAAGCCAGACATCGTTCTCAACTTTACTACGAATCAGGTGAGTTATAATACAGTAATTTTTGCCAAGATCACCAGTGTCCAGTACAGTTAGTAGTATACCTGTAACATCTCCTATGCAACATATTCGTCTCATAACACCTTTTATTAGGAATCAAACACTTTTAATTTAGAAACTTATTTTTATCAAATTTGTTGGTTGGAAACGTAGTGGTATGCATTTACTAACGTGGTCGTGTTCATTCATTCATGGACGAAATTGGAATCTATTTCCGTTGCCAACGATAACGCTTACGACGCATGACTACAATGTATAGCCACAAAATTGTTGGAATTGCAAAATATGATAATAGACTCTAATGAACGTTATTCGACTCCGATGGTATGGACGTGTATTATCAACATAATAATGATGCAAACCACAGTTTAAACGGTTGATTTATGTTTTTGTTTGCTTTAACTGTCTAATAGCTCGTTTGGGAAACCTAATAACTGCAATTACGGTGTTTATCCAATTTAAAACACATATTGTAGATACTTCTTATTTTGGTTATACGATAAAACATTAGATTAGATTTCGTAATCACCTTTCTTATTTAAGACTTTCGTATTGTTAGCAACTAGAAAACAATATCAATTTCAAAGAAACGTTGCTTCTTCCGTGTTTTAGTTTTTACTCTTTAGATTATTTCGTGAAGACTCTAGCTCATCTCGAGTTTTCATAGACAATGAGTCCTTTCTTCGCGCGTAACAAACGCGGCGGCGGCGGTGCCTAGTTAGGGCATTGTCCTGGCGGTATAATCTTGCGCCTCTGGTTTAAGACAAGCATTCACTAAAGTGATTTTGAATTTGACGTACATTAATAAGTTCTAATATAAGACCAGTTTTAAATTCTCTCGTAACAAAACCTATGAGGTGCGAGAAAAAACATTAATCTATAACTACTTTTAAAGCTGTTGGTAATAAAAGACGGTTATAAATGACAATCACGTTTTACCGCGAAAAGATTTTTTTTCCACCAAGGGAGACGTTCAGATAGTTAATGCGAACCGCCCTAGTATCGGAACAACAATGGCGACTTTTAATCAGTCCTTTTGTCATTTGTTCATCCGTCTAGACACGGAAAAATGTCGGGGAAGTAATAATCCGAGGCCTCTAATTGCAGTCCTCTTGGACTATTAAGCTAAAGTATATTTATATTATATCTTTTTAAGATGTATTTTTCATTTTCAAGAAGCCCTAATATTACGAAGAGCTCAAGAGTCGACTTAATTAATCCTTTCTGATCTTATTAGAAGTCAAAGTTATCGACAGCTCCGCACCTAACCTCTGAAGTGATTTCTGAAAGACATTTAACACGTTAATCGCTGCAATTTAACAAATTTCGCGTCGCTGGTCATCCACGCGGAAAAGCAATTACTACACGTAATGACGTCACTTATTCTCCCTTTCCACCCGTGCCGAGTGCTAATAGACAATTTGCCCAGTTTTTGATCCCATTTTGTTCAGCGAATGACTCAGCTGCGACACGTGGAACTCACGACTTTGAACGATTTATTTAATACGTATTTAATAAAGAACACGTTTTTTTAAATTTATTGAATTGATAATAAAAGACTAGAAGAATTTATATTAATAATTAAATTGATATATCTACCCCTCTGAAAAAAAACAAAAGACAATGCAATATAAAACATAAAGACGTACGCTGCTTATTTGCGACCTCATTGAAAAACTTCATTATTGAATGGCAAGCTATACATAGAATAGAACTCGTTAGTTCTTTCGTATCGTTGCTCGAGAGTTTTCAAATCCCTACTTTTTTATGTTTACGATGTATTCAGTAGGAGTTCTTTTGTTATTAGGATTCTCAGTAAGGTATTTACAGAGCTTCGGAAAAAACATTACCATCGCCCGTATATTATGTAGGTACGAGTGAGTATATGCAAAAGCAAGCCTTACTTTCATGTTTTCGGTAAATAATCGGTGGACAATTAATTAGGTTCTGCTTATTTTTTGTAAATAGTGTTTACACCCTTTAAATTAATACAGTATACTTATAAACATAAACAAATTATATTCTTTAGATTTAAACATCGAGCAGTTACATGCTTAAAAAATTTAATTATAAATATATTTTTAGGTTTATTTATCCAAACAGAATTATACTGTATCAATCCTTAAGGAAACTTAGGAAGAGCTAACATTTATACTTATTCAAATAGTGGTAAAACATAATTCAAGGCACATTCATTCATAATAAATACGAATAAAATATCTACCTATAATTATGTTATGCTTTGTTTCAGAATCATCAACGGATGAACGAACCTCATCATCAGAAGAAGAAGAAAACGATTTTGGAGAATTCGATCCATTTGCAACGGCTCCGTCTTTACATTCACCGGATAGTGGTCGATCAGACCCGAGATACGCGAACGCGCCCCGACGTAACCCAAGTCCCTACTATTACGGAGACCTGTTTAAAACAGCGCCACCTGCGCCGGCTCCATCAGCACCTACTGCTTCCACTACGTCATCTTCTCGTGGGCCTAGATACAGGAAGTCTGCCAGCCTAGACGCGCCCCACGTTGCTCCTAGACCGAATCTTCCGAAGCGATTTTCCGTAGCTGAAGATGGCTTCCGTGAATTAGAGCGGTCGTCATCTTCGTCTGGAGAGAGCGCGTGGATGCCGCCAAGGCGCCGCGGGCGCGACGCGGCCGGCTGCGCGTGCGCCGCGCCCGAAGATGTAGAAGAGCATCGTCCTTCTCGCAGCGTCTTTTACGTGCCGGCGCCGTTGCCTCGCTGGCCGCAAGAGATGACAACTCGACAGATATATGAAACAGCCTTTGACTGTAAAATTGCACGCTCCGACGATGACTTGGATGACTTTGATCGTGTCAGTAACCACCCAGCGCTCTTACAAGCCGAAGAACGCAAAGTCATTTCTTCCGCCTCGTCTGCATTTGAAGCTGTTGAGCGTAGTGAACCCGATTACAAGGGTCGGCGTAAGGTGACTATGAAAACAGATAGTGTACGGCGATCAAAAATTCCTACCATTCGACAAAAGAGAGAAAATGAAGGTAATACTTGTGCCCTATCTGAAGAATTAGAAAAAGTACATATTGAGGAAGATGATAGAACAGCATCGACATCGCAACTTCCTTTGCGAGGTTATACACCATCACCGCCATCAACAGCCCCTTTGCCAGCAAAATTTCAGAAAGATGGGTCTGCAATGAATAGTATTAAAAGCGCCCCTAATTTACCTCAATCTCAGCCTTCACATCCTCGATTAAAGGATTTGCGACTGCCTGTTAAATCATTACGGGCGAGAGAAACTCCAACTAGCAGTGATGCAAGTATGGCTGAGGTAAAAGGTTCAGCCTCAACTGATCTAGATATTGGTCAAAGACTGAGAGATTCAAGCCGTGAATCTCGTGATGGTGATGAAGAAAGGCAATCTAAAGACGGTATTTTTTTAGAGATTAAGGGCCGACCCACTTCCGATTCTGATACACCTGAATTGAATCGGTACTCGGGGCCAAAGGGGGTCGGCCCTATAATGGAATTTAAGGGAAGGCCAGGCGTTACCCGTCCACGTCGTAAATATTCAAGCACAGAGAGTATGGCAACAAGCAGCAGTGGAGGTAGTATGGAATCACTTCGAAGTAGTAATAGTGAAGGAGATAGAAGTAGTAGTAGCTCAGAGAGTCGCCATTCTTCGTCACTTAGTTCCCATAGCTCAGATTCGGGTAACGTCCCATTTACAAAATCACATCACATGCAACTGTCGGGGTTTGGGCACCACACAGCTAAACTACATATTCTTAGCCCAATATCTGATAAATCTTCCCAAGAACCCGCATCTGAAACATCAGACAATAACAAAAACAACAATTCTCAAAAGGTTTCTCCCGACGATGGTGAAATGGGAAATACTACAGTACAGACTACTGTTGAAATTGTTGCCAAACCTAAACGTCGTGCATTACAAAATAGAAATTTGTTAAATCTCACGTTCAGACATTCCACGACTGGTGACGCAGAAATTCAAGGATCAGACAGTGGAATTTCAATACACTCAAGAGAAGGAGTGGATTCACGAAATGCGTTTATTAATTTTAAAAACAGTAATACAGAGGAGGAACGTAAAGACGATGACTTAGATTTATCAGATCTTCCATTTGATATGCCTAAATTGAGAAGGCGACGCGCCGAAGCTGAAGCTGATTTAAGATCCTTGCCATTTGATATGCCAAAACTTCGCCGAAAATTGCGAGGGCAGTCTCTTCAACTCAATAATGATTTTGGTATACCTATTTCCAACGCATCATCCAGCCAAAGCGTGCAAGATTTAAATCAAGGTAAGTTGACTTTATATCTTTTTATTTCGTTAAGTTATTTTATCAGAAAAATCAAATTAAATTGTAAAAAGTAAAAGTAATGTCTGTCAATCACATTATCGAAAAATGAGAAAAGTACGCCAAAGCCAACTTGCATGTCAATCTCAAAAGAAAATGGTTTAGAGGAGGGTCTGTCTGTTCTCGTAGATCTTTGAGATCGTCTAATTCGGAACGATCGCGACCGCATTATGCCGATTAAGACGTATAACTTCAGATTGCTCCACACGAATCTTCCGGTCCAACGCCCTCCCAATATTTAATTTGGTTGAGTGCTTTTTGAGGGAACTTTTTCCTGTATATGTTGTGAGCAATTTGTTACCGTTCACTTGAGTTAAGAGTTCGAAACCTTAGAGGATAGCGTGCTTAACGTATAATGAGATGTGGCACAGTAGCTGCTGCTGCTTGTGTTTTGAACCTTTCTATTGTCTTAAATGTTATATTTGAGCGTGTATACTTAGTCTCCTCTGGGATGTTTGTGACATTGATTAATGTAATGTTTTCTTTAATTTTCAGGTAACAAGCATCACCCAAAGTTATCATTGAACTTTGGCACTGGCGGTGGTACTAGCAGCTCTAAGGGATTGCATTTAAATTTGGGTCCCATTGCTCCGCCGCGGGACTTGGTTGATTCGACTCTTCCACTTGACAGACAAGGGTATGTGTGAAGAGATTACTTTTAAAACATAATAAAAAATTAACATAACTTAATATACATTTTTTGTAGTTTCATTTAAAACACCAGAACTGTTACTGTCCAAAACAGAAAGGAGATTGTTCTGCGTCTATACATAGTTAGCCTAAGAACCAACAATCATGAAATATTATTTTCTAGGTTCAAAATCGCAAGTAAATGACTGTACAAACAAAGATTATTGACGGACACTTCTGAGAACTTAAATTATTAGGAAAACTAATTTTTTTTGAGGTTATGTTTAATATTCAATGAAACATAGGTCAACCTATGAACTTTGTATGAACACAGTATGAAGTAAATTAATATTACAACTAATTTATTTTATTCGGTGCGATTTTAAAGAATAACTATAAGGAAAAACTTGGTTAGGTAGGAATCATGAATAAAATAAAAACAATAGTTTTGCTTCTTTATTATTGACTATTTTTCACATAATTGTATCATATTGTATTTATTTGTTTAACACATGTATATTGTGTAAATATGCAGCGTGAATGTGTATCGGGTGCTCTTGAATAATTTGGCAGTATGATGCTCTCAGGATGTTGTGGCACAGATTCACTAGCACTTGGTAATAAGGTCTCTGCTCTTTGGTAACATCGATGGCATATTAGATAGCCGAAATAGTAATAGTTAAATTAAAGGAAAAACAATCGCAAATAAACACACACAACAGGTAATCCGAACGAGAATTTTCAGTATATAAAAAATAGTCTTTGACGAGAATGCACGAATGCCACAGATTAGCACGAATGCAAACTGCCTGCACCACAACCACAGAGTATCGAGTTTATGCCGGCCCTTCACTTGACAACAGTTTATCCTTGTCATGCTTAATAAAGAATGAAAAGGACAGACTGATGTCATGTTTTTAAATAGCAAATACGAATAGCCAAGTGAAGTGCCGGCATTAGGAAGAAAGTGTTTTTTGTTTGCAGCGCTGTCATAGATTATACATATAAAATGGTATTTATTGTCTCAGATTATTTATTAACTTTTTAATTTAGCTTACTTAACTGGAAGTGTCCGTCACAATCTAAAAACTGATAATTATCGCAAAAAATATACTAAGAAATATCATAAATGCCAAATTGGTGTTGGTTCTTAGGCCAATTTTAACATTGTCCTTTGATTTTGTTTTATAAAACAAGGTAGATACGTTCTTAATAGTAGAAAATTGTGATTGTAATTTATGTTAATTTCTTTTCCAGGTGGTATCATGGTACGTTGACTCGCGTGGAGGCTGAGAGTCTGCTGCGGGATGCTGACGAAGGTGCTTTCTTGGTCCGCAACAGCGAATCAGCGAAACATGACTACTCATTAAGCTTAAAGTAAGTTTCCTAATCAATAAAACTATCATTGTATCAATTAATGAAGAATCGATTAACATAGATTCGATACATAGAAATATATTTTAATAAAATTCTGCTGTTGCAATATTTTTTAAATAAATTATTTTATTAAAAAGTTTGCTAAATCAAATAAATACATTTTCATCACCTTTATTATTTTTGTTCCTCAGTGGTTTGGTTTAAAATTTTGACTAAGATAAATTGTTTGGGTTTTACAATTCATTTATGGATTCTTTCTGTGTTACAGGTCGACGCGTGGCTTTATGCACATGCGAATATGTCGTGGTACCGAAGGCTACACTTTGGGTGGAGCTGCTACTGCATTCCCCACGGTTCCTGCACTCATGAAGCATTACGTCACGGCCCAAAGGTTACCAGTTAGAGGAGCAGAACACATGTCACTATCGACACCGTTGCCGGCTGTGTTACTTTGAATCATGGATGTGTAACATTTGAAACTTTTGAAAAGGCCTAAAAAAAGCCTAAAGAAGGGCTAGATTTTGGCGAATCGCTGAAGCAGCAACGGAATCCAAGCTGGAGGAAGCATTATGATTTGCTTGCACCCTTTGCTTTTCGATTGCGACAGCAGCGTCTGTTATTTGTATAGCTTTAGAAGAACAAGATAATGATACCAAAGAGTTAGGAAGAGCCTAGCGATAAGTTTGTTAAGTGAAAATGGGCTTTTGTACATTTAACGTAAGAGCGCATCCTCGTGCATCATCCAACGTTATTCTAGTCCCGACACCGCAGAAACCTGTAAAAAGTAACGTATTATTTATTCGCGTATAAACTTTAATATTTATTTCAGTATAGTGTACTATGTATTGGTGTAGATCACTTGTGTTTAGTACTTACGCTTCATATTACTCATTCGTTATTTATCGTGGTATCATTACGATACAATTTAATAAGTGTTTACTAAAGTGTACCGAGTCGATTGACGCAAGCGATAATATTCTATAGCATTAAAGATAATTAGTTCTTCATACATACATAACCATAGTATCTACCGTATACATTTTATGAAACAGTTTGAAGGAAAATTTGTACTTAGTTTTGCAATTTAATGCTTAATATCCTTTGTATGGCCTAACCTAATGACTCATGTAGTAAAGGCGAATATTATTATATTGTTTGAGGAAAGTGTAAGTAAGTTATCTTTGTAAATGCTGAGTGAGTCATTGTTTGAAAATCTTGAAATCGTAGTGCGTACGTCTACGTTATACTTTTAAATGTCCACAATGACAACAAGGTCAGTACATAATGGCTGTAAGCAAATCGATTCATATACCTACTACATTTGCTACAATATAATCTGATTGCCATGATAAATAGAGCCTTGGCACGAAATCATAGAGTATATAATTCTGAGGATGAAAATAACCAAATGACTCATCCACTTTGCCGGTCACGACAACCGAATCGATTTTAGTACAAAATTTGTACGCGAGTAACTGTTCCCATGGTATTGTTATCAATACTTTGTCTTAGTCATATTTACTGACGCTGACTATTTCGGCTATAGATAAAGTATTTTTAGCATACGACTATAAATCTGTAGCGTTTTTTAATGAACTAGTTATCATAGTCTTGTAGATCCCGATATTAATTATCGGGCGAGAATTAAGATAAAAATAAAAATGTTTAACAAAACATTGGCCAATTTTAAATGATTTTAATGTAGTTAAATATAGTTTTCATATTAAGATCAACACTGATTTTTTTCGATGAGGATAATTTAACCCCAGTGTAATGGCACATAATATTAATTTAAGATCATAGAGGAAAAAAGATTGCACGTGTTATGTAACTATCACACTGACTTATTTATATTTTTTGTTATATTAGACTTAAGTAGGATGTAAAATGGTATATCGGGGCCCTTGCTATTTAAATTTATATATACATAAATAGCTCAGTATATTGTTTGTCGATTTGGTTTAAATTCAGATATTTTTTTAACAACGATTTAATACCAAATTAAGAGACTTAGTATGTTGTATTGTTTTCTGTGATTTTAAGGTCGATATTTAAAGAAAGCCAAAAAAATATTGTGTATAACGTAACGATGTGTTAATTGTATTTATTGTGAGATATTGCTTTATAATTGTCATCTATAATTATAATATATATTTACCTAAGTTGTTTGTTTATGACAACACGATCTCAATATAATCTTCCTTGGGTTGATTCAGTTACCTAATAATTTATATTAATTATTACTTATATTAATTTGTACCTGATTTAAAAATTAATACATTGATTGAGACTTACAAACTAATTTTAGAACGAACTATTTTGTTATCGTATTAATTTTAGATAACCAGTAAGAGTAATATTTATCGGTAGATGTGTATGAGAACGAGCGAATTTCAGTGTGAAAAAGTTTTACGTACGTAATTATTTATACTAAACCACCGCAAAGCAGCTTACGCAAGCGTGCAACTAATTTTAATGTATTTTAATATCATAGTTATTAATTATAAGTGAACAACTTTCAGACATGAGAGAAAGCATCGACATACAATATTAATATCAGTTTTGAACGAATTAAGGTCTGTAATAGTTTGCGAGGCCGTGGTTGATCTTTCATGTCTGCCAGTTTGACGCGTTAATGTAGTAGAGGTGGGCCTCTAAAACGATGGTAGGTTTACTGTACTGGGGTGAAAATACATTGATTTATTATTGGAAGTTTTTGAAACGTGTCAAAATTTTTTCAAAAAAGACGTAGAGAGGGTTGGGTGTTAGTTAAAAATTATAGCTTATAGTAGTTATAATCAATTGTAATTTGAAGATGTAGTTTGAAATTGATGATGAAATAAATTCCATAAAAAATATTTTGTTTTATTCTATTTCATTTAACAGAATTGATGATAATCTCTGGAAAATGATAATAAATACCGATGTCCGCCTGTTTAAAACTGGTCAAGCTCAACTCGGTTATGGAAATTATAAATATTCTTTAATGAACCCATTGAATATACCAGTAGTAAACTCTCCTCTGTAGATAATACAAGTCTTTAAACGGCTTTGCTGCCGCATATCCTATCTACCCATGGGTAGTCAAGAAGTGAACAAAGTTCAAATCCTGGCTCGACGGGGTAGGGGATGATGTCAGGGTAGCCGACGGCGTGAGCGTGTATTCCCCACCTTCACACAAAACATTAACATCCAGTGTTAAGGTGGGATAATTTATTTCCCGTTCTCACACTGTCACACTTTCAAAGATCAGTGTGAAGGTGGGTTAGCCTGGATTTCCATACCAGTGTAAACGTCGGGAATAATCAAATAAATAATTAATTGCTATGGAAAGAAGGCTAATGTAGACCTTTCAGGTGAATCATTAATAAACACTTGAGGAAGAAGGGATTTTTTGGAGGGAGGAGAGGTCAGGTTATTATCATCTGTTCTAGTGTTCCCATCCGTAACATTAATGTTATCTTAGTGTTAAGATCAGGAAAGAAATTTCCCCACCTTAAGGCTGCGTTTCCACCAGAAATGTGCGAGGATGCATAGCGAGGGATGAGTTTGTAAAGAACCAATAGAATCGCTTCATTTACCTCGCCTCGGTCAGCACAGCTCTGGTGGAAACGGCTCAGCGGAGCTAGATTTTTGCGCATACAAATCAAGCGAGGGATGGGTGCGAGGGATGTGTACGAGGGTTGTGTGCGAGGGATGTGTTGCGAGGAATGTGTGTTGAGAAGGATGTGTTCGCAACACGTTCGTTCGGTTTGCTCATACTGTACCACACATTAATGCGCATTTTCACAGCTCCGCTACACATCCTCGTAGGCACATTTTCATCGCACAGCTTTGGTGGAAATCCCCACACATTTTCACAGCACAGCTAGACATCCTCGCACGACACATTTCCATCGCACATCTCTGGTGGAAACGCAGCCTTACACTGGTGTTAATGTTTGGTGTGAAGGTGCAAACGGAATGTGCGGACACGAGTGATATTCTTTGTATCGTAAAAGTCCTATCGGTTATGACGGCCGCTTAACATCAGACAGTACTAGCCCACATGCTTTTTTGCCACCCACATAACAAATAAAATTGCACATTATTGATTTCATGCTTGTATATAGTCGTACCCATTACCACTAATTTGGCTTGGATTGAGCTTATAGATAAATTAGATTATTGTCTTAAAGATAAAAACTTTTCTCAGAACAACATTGACTAATTTCCAGCCCACTATAACCTCTTCTAATAAATAAAAATAAATCACTAAAATCTTTTACATAACTTCCGAAAGACTGCACCCGTCACTGGTTTATATACTTATTAGTTGCTGGCATGGACTTATAAAAAAAGGTTGCTGGAAGTTAATTCCTCAAACGCTTTTTTATGATTGATTTTTGAGATTTTTAATATGGAATTTACTTTTTTGATAGATATGTGGACTACAAACTCAAAGCTAGAAGGACTATGGGTATGGGAGCAGTAGGATATTATCGTTGAAAACACGAGTCAAAAATCAATTTTAGCGCCATCTACAATCGGATGTGGCAACTAAAACTTTAACAGCAGCCACTCTGTCTTACAGAGCAACTTCGAGTTGTATTATTATGAATCCAGCGTAGGTGGAGGTATTCCAAAATATTTTGACAAAATATTGCATAAAATTAGGGGGCATGATTCCATATTCATTGGTAAACTAAAAAGATTACCGCAATCTTCGCAGGAATGTATACCATAGTGATAATTTCGACTGTTTTAACAATGATCAGTAATATCTAAAACCCTTAAAACTACATAGATTCTTAATGTTTAAAATACGGGGCGTGCGTGCATACCTCATCATCATCAATCCTTAGCATTTCTTTACTAATACTAAAGTACCCCAAGCACGAACAACTAGCGAGAAAAAGCTAGTTTGTTCTTACGCTTTGTTTCCATGGAAACTGGCCTTGGCGGTACGAATACGTTACCCCCTTTTTTTTATCGCAGTTAAAAAATCTTTTTACAGACGACGGCGCCTGTAAGGGGCACACCGCCGAACGGACCTCACACCTGGCTCCCGCAAGTCTTACGAACCCCCATAGTGGATGCCCACCTGGGACCCCGCAACTCTTACGGGCGCTTTACGGTATAATATCCGCTAAAAAAGTCCTGCGAATACCTCTACACTGCTTAGCGCGAAGCCGCGGGGTCCCCGTTTAGGGAGTCTACCACGGCTTCACCCCCAGCAGCTTCCCGGCCTCGCCGAGGCTCCACGGCAGGGGTCTCCCGCGGTATTTCGGGGACCCCGCAGACGTGCGCAGGTAGGCCCGCGCGTGGGGGCTGGGTACGCGGCCTACTGCCCACCATACCGCCCCCCATCCGCTGCGGAAGGCTAAAACCCTCCGCCACCCTCCCCTTGCAGACAGAACTACATGAGGAGGGCCGCCGTTCCTGGAAGGGAGGACCGGGAGGGGAAGCGTAGTTCTTCCCGTCCCTCTCCCCCCTCCCGGTCGCCTACGTCCCCCGGATTTTCTCCTAGGAGAAGACGGGGGAAGCGCGGGCGACACTATCCGCGGGGGGTCCGAGCGGCCTAGGCTACTCGGACATTCCCCCCTCCGAGGGCGTCCGTCCGGGCGCCGCCTCAGAGGCCACTCTTTCGGGAGGCTTCCCTTTGGTGACCGGTCACACTTCCCGCTCCCCATTATGTGGTCTGCTGGCCGACCACTCACCGCGCACGCCACACATCTGACGGGGGCAGCCCACGTCGCCGCCTTGTGCCCCTCTGCCCCGCACCTGAAGCACAGGGTGCTCCGGTTCTCTTTCGACGGGCATCGCGCTGCCGCGTGCCCCTTCTCCATGCACTTATAGCAATGTGCACACCGGCCAAAGACCGTCACCTTGGCGAGACTCCACCCAACTGTAATCTTGGCCCCTTCCGCCACTTTCTTTGCGGCCCATGCCGGGCATCGTACCACCTTAGAGTCTCCCTGTACCGTGTGTATTTTCCCCAAGGTCACCTCTTTGGTGGAGCAGCCCCCCTTCTTGGCGACCGCCCCCACAATCTCCTCTGGGGTGACTGTCTCATCCAGCCCAGACACCCTTATCTCTTCGGTCTTCTCGGGCCTGCCGACCTCTGTGTAGTCTCCCACTACTTCGCCCATCCGTCTGGCCAGGTTGTCAGCCTTGGACCTGCTATCTGGGCCCGAGACTACTAATAGTCTGGACACAGTCTGGCTGGTCTTTATCACCAAGCCCTCCTCAATGCCGACGGACGGCAGTTCAATGGCCGCCCGCGCCATCTCCACTACGCTACTGTGGGTAAGACCTAGCTCCTCCGCCCTAGGCTTTAACCGCACCTCGACCGCCGCCGTGCTAGGGACCTTAATGCGCGGTACCCTTTTCCCACCCTTTTTCCTATCCGGGACACTGGTCTGCGCGACCTCTTTCTGCGCGACCCTCTTCTGCACAGGGTTAGCTGTGGGAGCCGTGCCTTTGATCTTCTTCGGCTTTCTAGCAGCCACGACGCTCCACTGTTCAGTCACCTTTGTGGCTGCTTCGCTGCGGTCTGCCGCCAGTGGTGGCCTGGGGCTTTTCACAGGTGGCAGCTGAAGCCTTTCAGCAAAGGAGGCCAGCCGAGTGCTGACCATCTCCCCTATGGATATAGCACGAACCAATATGGAATTCGAACAATTGAATAATCGACTTGATACTTGATCAAACGTTAAAAAGTTATGTATGGAAGATTTTAAATTCTCACTACTTCCGTTGACCGGCGCTGTTCAAATTTCCGTACAAAAATTCTTGACATTATACGCGTATCGACATCGAATTAAACTATATATTCGAATTCGTTTGATTCGTGCTAAGGGTGCGAATCTGTCAAAGCTCGTGCTTAGTACTGTACATACCTTTTCTATACATATATATCATCACATGTATACAGTGTATCATACAGTGGTGATCATATAATTAACAAATCTCCCAGTAAAGCCATCATTTTAAAATTCCAATATTCATAACATTTTTTGTTATATGTAGGTATTACTTCTTGATAAATATTGGCTTTTCTGTCATTTTATACCTTTAGAAGACTAACATAATCGAAAAAGAAATTAGGAAATATATTATTACGACTGTTTAATTTACTGTCAGTTAAATATTGTTTTCATAGCAACAGGTGGGAAAGGTGGACAAATAATTAAGAACGACAGAAAAACTTAGTAATAATATTAACACTAATGTAATAATTCGACTACAACTAATAATTAATATAATACTTTAGTATAGTAGGAAATATTTTTGATGTGTAACATCTTTCCTCTCGCTTTCCTGCAATCTGTGGGAGTGATTTGCAATTTGTGGGAGGGAAAGCGCGCGCTATTTGATTTGATTTTAGAACGTAATGGCTTATTCCTTTTGTAGTAGGTTTATTTCCTTTTTTTACTAATATAATGTGAGGTTTCAAATGTTACACATCATACGCGACTACTGTAAGGCTAGCTCCTTTTTTTTGAAATTATGAAATTTAATATTTAGTGGCACGTCTTTGGCTGTGGATAACTGCATGACAGCGGCGCGGCATCGACGCTATCAAGTTTTGGCAGGCTTTAATATACATATATATGTGTATATAGATAGTTTATTTTCCCTTCGTATCGAAGATGTTCGAACGGATTAAGATCTGGGCTGTTCGGTGGCCACTCTAATACAGTTACCAGTCGATTGTCGAGGTATCTATTTACACAGAGTGCAGTATGCTTCGGGTCATTATCGTGCTGAAATCTTCAAATTACCGGGAGCAACATACATTAATCAAGTATCTCTTTGTATTGATACTGGTCCATGTTACCCTGTATAAGCCCAGTAGTTTCCACGCCATAACCAGAA